TTTGTTCTCAGAATTCTGACTTTAATCTCAGAATTCTGACTGAATTCTGACAATAAAAAAAGTCAGAATTCCCATTCTAAATTCCCATACTAAACTGAAATAGAATTTTAAAATCAGTAAACTTTTTTTTTTTTTCAGTGGCCCTAATCCTCTTCCGTATTTAACAGCTGGTCACAAACCAGCCATTTTTCTTGGTAGGCAACTGAGCTCTCCTTGGTCCAGGACAATCCCCTCTCCCCCTTACTAAGTTCTTCTGCTCTGATAATAAACCAGAAATTAATCCAGTGACCTGTCATTGGTGCCAGATTAACCAGGCTAGTCTAATCTGATCTACTGATGTGTGATTTGAGATCGCTCCAAACTTAAATTTTAGCTGTTTTTCCATTTTACACTAGTGTTAATTCCAGCCTCTTATTATCCTCAATAAGTCACAAAAAAAACTACTGAAAAAAATGTCATTATTTGGTTTGCAAAGAGGAATCTGACTTTAGACAATTTATGTATTTTCCATAAAACATGCCAACACTGCTTTGTTCCTAATAGAATGTGTTCCTCTCGTCAGCTTAGACATAGAGAAGTTGGTTTAAGATAATTAATTTACCATTATACCTGAAGCTATAATAGTTTAATCACATTCCAAAAATATTAGGAAAAAAAATAAATAAAAAACATTTTGCCGTAGCTAAGAGAGAAAAAAAAATGGTGGGCCTTTTAGACCTTTTAGAATGTGCCTTTTAGAAGGAAGAGGCAGGGATGTATGCAATCACTAATTAAACTTATGGTGATAATGACGTCTGAATAATTTGTATCAATCCTATGAGGCTGCAATTGCAAGGTTGTGCAATTACAGAGTAAACATGTAATTATCAGCACAATGAGGCTATTCATTATTCAGCGTAAGCAAACTGAATATAGCTGCCTGTAAACAACCTGGGAAAGCAGCCAATCTAGATTTCAGGAAACACACTCCTCGCAAATGCAGGATATAAATCTCACGATGCAAACAGGAGAAACTGTTGAGGTGACAGACTGATTGGTAGCCATTGACCCATCATGCATGAAAGGGGGTGGCTCCTGCCGTCCCGTCCGTTCTGAGCTGTGACAGCTGGCTGCGCAGCGTTCCAGCAGGGCCCTCATTAAGTTTTTACCCTGCTGTCAATCTGGCTTGTTGTTAGAGAACACCAGACTGAGAGGGGAAGCACTTTAAGATAAACACAAACTCCCCAGAGGGAAAAATGGCAACTGCAAAGGTTTGTCTAGCAACATGTCAGGAAATGTAGATGAGTAAGGTGTAAAGAAAAGCTGAAGATACACTGATTAGAAGTTCATTTAAACAAAATAACCTAAAAACTCCAATAAATTACATTGCTTTGCACGCTTCATGGTTTAAGGTGGCTAGACCGTAAAATACTTGTTTTAAACCAAATCAGAGGCAAAAAAAGACTAAATGGACCCTTAAACTCAAAGATGTCGGAGGAAGATGGCATCTTCCTCCGACTTTCTTTTCAAAGCATCACACTAATACTGAAGGCAACTTTAGATCACAACTTCCAAACTAAAGAGCGTTGTCAGACTAATGTGTTAGCATGATGCGTTCACTGACAGTAAGATAAGATTGGCTCTGTAGTTCCTACAAGTTGATTACCAGATTGAACTGTTGAAAAGTCATCATTGCAGTCAACAGCTGATTTTTCAGTTATCCTTCACAGAAAACAAAGAAAGAAGCAAACTATCGATTTTACAAAAAACAGCTGTCATGCCATTAAGGCTGAAACAATCGATTATTGAAATAACCGTCAACTAATTCAGTTATTTATTAATCGTTAACTGGAGTATAGAGACTGTAAAATATGCCTTTAGTTGACAGAGCAACATACTTGGAGCAGGAATTATACCAAAATTATAAATATATTATAGTATATAAACATTTTTCATTTAAGATGAAAAAAATATATATTTTTTTTTGTTTCACCTGGTTTGATTCTTAAGACTTAGACAGTAAAAAAAAATCTTTGAGCAACCTTTTGATATTTGATTATTAATCATTTAATCAAGAAAATAATCCACAGATTAATCGATTAGCGAAATAAGAATTACTTGCGACACTAGATGACATAATGTTTTTAAACCAAGGTTGCCATAAGAGGAAAATCTAAATTTGTTGGTTTTTTGTTGATATTTTGTACAGCATCTCTTCTTGAAGGTCTCACCTCTTCAGAGTCTTTTAGCGTGCAGACGTGGTAGGGCATAGAGACGAGTGTCTGATCTCGGCGATCAGCGATGTACAGCCACCACCACTCTTGCTTCTCTTCTGGGAAGTAAAGGCTATAGGCCGAATGCGTCACCTTCGACTTCGTTTCCAGCAGCGCCCGTTCTCGCCGCTGGATGCTCTGCTGCAGTGCCTCCCACTCCTAAAAGGTTGGATGAAGAACAATCACTACTCAGTCGTTATGACAATCTAATAAGAATCTGAGAATAAAAACAATCATGCCGACCTCTTCGTCGTCTCCAGCACCCTCATCAACCTCAGTGTCGCTCTGTTTGTCGCTTTCATCGTCTCTTTCGCTGGGAGAGTCCTTGTTGGCTTCACCTTCCTCTGACTCGCTGCCCTTATCTGAGGCTTCATCATCTTCCTCTTTCGTTGCGGATGCTGCAGATGATGCTACAGCGGCCGTTTCCTGAGAGCAGAGACGGAACAATAAACTGATCCCAGACGGTTGACATTGTCGGAAGGAGATTCTTTCAGACAAGATTTGGGGATGCTTACATTTCCTGCCACATTGCCGTTAGCCTGCTTGGCTTTAATAGGAGCAGGCGTGGCTTTTTTCTTGGTCAATTTCTTCTTCTTGGACTTGGCTGTCTTTTTGGCCCCTTTATTCTTGTTTTGCCAAACTTTTGTTTTGGCCTTATTCGTGTCTCCCTGATTAAAACCAGACATGATTCATAGTTGTGTTTTATTGAAGGTAAAATGTTAAAAAAAACTTTTTCTATCTGCAGATCAAAGTTGCTATGGTATCCTTACTGCTTCCTCTGTATTGGTAGCCTCCTCTCCTTGACATGTTGATGCTTCCTGCTCCTTCTCAAACATATCCTACAAACAGATAGCAGCATTTAGATAGGTTAAACAGCACCCTCTAGGGTTGAACATACATAGAGTATGCTCAACAAAGCAATTTCTTTCTATTAACTCAAAGTGTTAAGCCAAATGAAATACTCACTGCCATACGCTTTCTGGTTAAGGTAACAGTTACTGTGACGATTGAGCCTGCGGTGATGTTATGGCTGTCTTCATCATCAAGGACTGTAAATGAAAAGGAAGAGAAACTGCTGAATTAAAACAAAACGTCAAATATTGGGCCAAGAAAAAGACGGCATCGCATTAATCTGTCTAATCTTTCAAACATGTTTCCTGACAAGGAAATTCAATTTAAATGAAATGGTTTTATCATGGATTGAGCATTAAGACTAACCCTGGAGCTTGATGTCCATGGTGATATGAGGGAAGCTGCCCAGCACAGCAATGACCTCATCGTACTTCTCCTCCCCGAGGAAACGCAGCATGTTGCGTCGGTCTGAGTCCTTTAGACTGACCAGGTCCTGCAGGGACCGCACCTTATACTGAAGGGAACAGGAAGAGAATGCCTCCTCAGTGTATCACAGAAAACATTGGTTGTCCTTATAGAATTAACCATTAAATGTTTTTTGTATTCTAGGAGATATGGTCATTGGACAGGCTGTGTGCAAAAGGTTGATCAACCACCTGCACCGAGAATAATAAGGTCATGTGAACTTATACTGGCATTAAAATATAACCGATTCATTCCTTTAAAAAACAAAATGGCAGCCTGCTTAAAAAGGGACATACATTGTGCGTTTAGAGTTGTTGTTTATGATGTTCTAAATTATATTAGATGAATAAATATAGTAAAAAATGTGCTTTAAAAGTTATTAAATACATATTTATAAAAAAAAACTTAATTGCATTTAAACAGCTTATATAATAAGACATTAAATGTCTGTAACCTGGAGGATATGTTACCCAGTTAGGGGTATGAAACACCTCTATTACTCACAGACTTTATGAGTGAGGGCGCCCCCCACAGGATCAGAAAACACTCCAAAATCATCAAGGATTCAAAAGTCTCCAGGTCCCTGGATGATATGTATCATGATGGGATAGGACGCTTCACTATTCTGTCAGTAAAGGGCCGATGCAGGATGTGCCAGAACTGACTGACCTCAATCACACACCAGAAGTGAAAAGAGACTTTGCATTGTTACTGGCAAAAAGGCTCACAACTGTTTCCTCAGCTTTCAACAGTTAAGTTTACATGGAGATAAATAATCAGAAGAAAGTTCTGATCAGATCGAAAGTTTCATGTAAAAATCAGACTTAAGATTTTAATCCGACTCTGTCTGATCGGAAAAAAATTTTCACCCCAAAAGAAGAATTTGATAAATAAAATATTACAAAGATGTTTAAGTGGTATTTTGTAATGCTAAACAAAGGGTCTATATATAAAAATAATAATAATAATTGTGCCATTTAAACCTAGATCAGTTAGAAAGTGTAAAAAAAAAAAAGGCGGCATCTAAAAGGGGTTTTTGAGTGAGCTTCAAGCTAAAAATAACTCCTTGTTTTGCAGTTTCTACCATCAAAGAGAAAATCCAAGGTGTTCTCTAGTTAAAAGTATAATTCATATGACTGGTGCCTTTTAACATCCGTATATTCTGTATTAGGCTGATGTTTGTTTGAAATATGTTTCTAATATCAAAGCAAAAACAGTTTCTACTTATATGGTTAATATTTGCTGCATTGCATCGACCAGTTAGAAAGAATGTTAAAAATCAAGAGGAACCAGAAACTGGGACCAGCGGCACTATCAGGTAACACAACAGAACAGCTTTACTAAAGCCTCTGTTGCATTACATGGCAGACTACTAGAACTCCTCTACAGTGTTAGGATGTCCACATTTGTTGAAGCCCTGATTATCTGCTGATACAGACTGAAACTTAAGACAGAGACCAATAAAGGTGTTGATGGGTACCTTCTTTGAAATGCAGTAGCGGAGATTCTCCTCTTCGAAATGAGGCAGTTGCAGCAGCGGTGACTTGGACTCCTGCAGGCCCTGCACGATCATTTGGGTCAGCTTCATAAAATTCTCAATGGTTGTCAGTCTGGGAGCGTGGAAAGCTGTAAATGAGGTAACAAGTGCACAGCTGATTTATAAAGGAAAGAAAACCCAGACATCATGATGCTGATTGAGTTCGGTAATCAGGCTGTGTGAACCTCCTCTGCTGTTTGCCATCATGGTGAGCTGGCAGCCTATGTTGATCATCTCCTGGAGGAGAGCTGGAGTCTTCCTCAACACAAATCTCTGATCTGATGAAGAAACATACACAACTTGCTCACTGTTTCTTAATGTAAACAATTTTTACTTTAAATGACCTTTAAACATAGCTAATAGAAGAAATGTGATCTTATTTCTGCATGACTAGAATGTCTAATGACTTTCCCTTTAGTGTGTTTTAATTTCTTCCAGTTTATTTAAAGCTCATTAAGCCTCAACAACCAGAGCTACTTTCTTTATTACCCAACCAGAGCCTTTAAGATCTCAGGCACTTCTGCTACTCCAGAGACTTTTATAGACATATGCCTGCAGTGCACAAATTTATATTAACAGAAGTACAACCCAACTGAGAGCCTGGTTGGAAAATACAGTATTAATTTAGCTACAAACCAGAAGCTTCATAAAAGCTTTACATTTAAAGAAGTTTAAGAACTTTATGTCAAACATATTTAAACACATCAGTCAGTCCTACCTTCCTCTAACTCCTCTGACACCTCCATGCGGGCCAGATGTGAAAGCACCAACACCCTGGCCTTTAGACTGTATGGATAACAGAAAGGAGGCTCCTTCTTCTTCACATTGATATTCCCCAATTCACGGATCAACTGCAACAAATGTTTAAGCATGTTAAATGTTAAATCGGAATCCTGAATATTTGGGTGTTAATGCTTCTTAGTTCTGGTCTGGCTTAGTTAGAGGGTTGTAAAAGTACAGAAACCCAACTGTTTTGTTTTCTCTCCAAATATACTTCTTTGGGAAGGGGTTTATAACAATACCCCAAAGAGTAATGCTTATGCAGATTATCTTTCATCGATTACCTAACAAATGTGATGCACCAATACATTACTTTTTTAGATTAATGTAATCATTAACTTTAATTCTCATAAATGATAAAAATTCAAAGATCTTTTCTGCCTTTTAATCCTAAATATCAGTTGTTTTTCCAGTCCAAATCTGGTGTTAGAAATATTTTGTTTCCTTATTTAAAAAGTGGATTTTTATATGTAGTTTGTTGGAAGGTTGGCAGACCGAGCTTGGTGTCCACAGCCAGGGCAGTGGATTTACATTGTACCCCTAAATAAACTGCGTGGTGAAGGGCGGTTAAGAGGCCAGCGGTGAATCCCACAAGCTGAGAGCGTTCGCAGCTCCGCTCTCACCTCATGCTACTAGATAGAACTGGGGTGTTGTCAAACAGCAGCATCGCACGGAGAGAGAAGGGATGATCGGTGAAGTTGAAAATTCAGAGCTTTTCTTTGAAATCGCGCCGTGGCACCAATCAGGGACTTGTTGTGACGTAGGTTGAAGAGTAGCAGCTAAGGCAAAGCTTCTTTCAATTAAAGGAAAGTTGTAGGACAGTCATATTTAAATTTCAAATCATTCTGGCTTAAACATAAATATTAATGTACCTTTTAACAGACGATATTGTCCCAAAAAATTCTATTTAAAAAAAATAACCTGTCTTAAAATCTGTGTTTTTTTATTTATGGAGGCCAGTTAGTTATATGTCAGCCTGAACATCTAAATTCGGCCAATCATATATCAATGATCATCTGTCAATCAAATTTCTTCGGTCATATAATCTTGATTCATATGTCGCAGCTCATATATACGAAACAGCTGAAAAGCTAACATAACTGGCAGCGTTTTAAGGCAAGGGCTCAAACATGTACGGCTGTAAGCCTTCTACACCAAACCAAGCTTCTGCCGCCCTGGCCGTCCTCTTCCACAACAACTTCGTCCCTGCTTTCCTCCTCTAAATAAAAAATGTATTATGGAGGAGACTCTTCCACGACCTCTGACACTAAACTCTCCTCCTCTTGCATGTTTCCGCTGTCCATAGCGTTCCTTGACAGTGTAGTTGCTAAGTGCTACTTGGTCCTAATGTAATTTCCCATTGGGAATAGCACTAAGTTGCTAACTGGTTAGCAAGAAGCTAACCACAACTAAAAAGCTTGCGAACCTTACGCCACAAAAATCCCGCCCCCTTGATAATCGACTAATCACATTCACTTTATTCACTCGTGTAAAGTCCTGCACCACTCGGGAGAATTCAGAACTGCAGCTGTTGGAACGGCCGCTTCCCTACGAACATTGAGGAAATCATGTTTACTTCAGCCTTAGAAACCCTGTTCATCATCCTCCCTTACCTCCAGCACAGAGCCTGGACTGTCACTGCCCATTGCCCAGCATCTGTGCTTTCTGTGTTGATAGATTTAAAAGGAAGTCCCACCAAATCCGACCGTCATCCAGATGCAGCTCTGGATGAACCAAAGTATACTTATTTTATCAGCGCTCCCAAGACTTTTCCAAAAACTGAGCGTCTCCCCAAGCTAATTCAAAAGTTGTTCATAGAGAGCAATTAGCTTTTTTTTTTTTTTTTTTTTAAATGCCGACAATTAGATCTTGACAGGAAATGCTGTGGGGTTGCCAGGGGCAGCGGCAGGTCCAAACTGATGAGGCTGGGGAATTACTAAACTTAAATAATAATTCCAGCCACTAAATAATAAACTGTAAAACTGCCCGCTGTTACATTTAATACAAGCACAGGAATGACGTGATGTTATGCAATAACTTTATTCTGGAAACAAGCACAGCACTAACGTCTGCAGGGATGGTGACGTCATCGGCCAAAATTAAAAATGATTCTGTCTTAAAAACAAAATCAGCACAACCAACAATTTTGCTTGGACAAACTTAAGTAGCACTGAAAATGCAGGTGATTTTCATTCAATTTGGAGCTTAACGAGGGATAGTTGACCTTTGGATGATCTAAAAAATTATCTTTATTATCTCTGAAAATAAATGATTTATTTTTAGAAATGTAAATTCAACAGGACAAAAATGCACTAATGAAACAATAACCATTTAGTCTATTTGCTGAGTGTTTTTCACATGGGTGGAGTGCCAGCTTTACACAACTGAAACTCCTATTCAATGATGAGGTCCAGGGTTTAAACACGGTGCATCTGAAATGCAGAGCTGTGAACTACCTGCAATGCTCCTGAAATCACTGGGGACATCGCAATAGGTCTGAATGAACCTTAAGGGTGATGAAATATTTTCGGTCAAAATGCCCCCAAAAGAAGGTTTGTTTTACCTGTGGCACTTCAGTGTTGTCTGTGGGTCTTATGGTGGCTTCTTTAGTGCTGCGAGGGTCAAATTCAAAGGCTGCAGTCAGCACCATGATTAAACCTGGAAGGAAGATTTGGCATAAAGATTAAACAATGATATTCTTTTTACTTATATACACATATACATATAGAGCTGAATGAGAAGTGTGATGGAGTTCAAAGAAAATACAAGCATTAAAGAGGAAACTCACGTTTCATGTTCATGTTTGGTGTCTTGCACATAAAATGCATAAAAAGCTGAGTGGTGCTGATGAGAATCTGGTCTCCACTATATCGGATTGAGCGGTACCACCACGTTCCCTGAAGAAACAGGCAAAATTAGAACATACACTAAAAAATGCCAAGTTTAAAACGTAAAAATCCTGTTTTAAACTTACCACAACTACAGGAAGGATGACCATGAAGGCAAGGCCATAGACTAACAACACCTGAAGAAGAAAAGTGTCACTGTCACCATAGAAAAGGTGCAAAATTGACAAGAAAAAAAAAAAAAACAGCAGCTCATAACATTGTTTGAATAATTCATGCTACTATTTTTATACCAGCATTGAGTTCTTTTGGTCAACAATCCAAGCAGGCAGGGCGATGCCAAAGCTGGTGGCTGTGAAAAGAGAGACAAAGCAGACCAAAGCAGAAAGGTTATACATCTGGGAAGGAATCTTTTTATACATCTAGACCCCCCCTGTTGGTTTGGTTTTCAAGACCTATTCTGTGGGGTGGATAGGGCTTTGTCTGTGAGCATTTATTATGTCGAAAAGGGATTTTTTTTCCTGAACTAAACAGAAATAAATCCACCTTTCAACACAACAAACTATCCTCTGTGAGAAAAACAAGAAAGAATATTTTTACTTTTCTTTCCCTCTAACAAAAACAAAGCTTGTCGACCCTCATCAACACAAATAAGTCTGAAATAATAATTAGGAAGGTTTTTTTAGTCAATGCATACTTTTCATGTTATAAGATTTTTTTCCTCTCAATCAAAAACCTTTCAACTCTAACTTCGGCTGCCGAGGCTGCAGTCTGATGGAATATCTACACAACAACAAGCTGGTAAAGAGTTCAGTTAAAAGAACTCTTCCAGAACTTCTGGAGATGGTTTCAAAAAGAAGAATTATTCATAAAATGAAGAACATTATGGACAGCAGTGCTGAAAACCTCTTCAGAAAACTGTTTATTAACAGAGCATCACCAGCAAGAGGCTTCCTGCCAATGGCTATCGACATCTACAATAACTTGTTGAAAAAAAAAAAAAACACTATACAGTTGTTACATTTAATTTCCGTTTAGGATCAAAAAATTTTTTTTTCCTATTTAATTTGTTGTCACCATACCGGTGTGTATTATCGTACATACAGTGCCATCTACGATTCAACTATTTTGCTTTGATCGTGTTACATTGTGAAAAGTATGTCACTGTCCAATTAAAACACATTTTATCCCAGGAAATAGTGCACAAGTACTATTATGTTAAAGTGCATAAATAACTAATTAGAAATGTTACAGTCTTCATTATTTGGCATTTAGACTAATGATCGCATGAAGAACAAATGTTTGTTATTTAGTTGAATCACCTTTTTGACCTTATACAACTGTCATTGGTTGTTTTTGTAGCAAATAAATAACTAATGTGGAGGAAGTTCTTTATCATGATGGACGTAGTTCATACTTGAAAAATCATCTCTGTTTACATCTAACATTTTGGTATGAAATAGAAAAAGTTGTTTTAAAGAAATAAACTGATAGAAATAGATTGTTTTAAAGCTTTAACTGACCTGTTGGGCCATCTGGGTTACCGTACGTTTCCCAGATGTATCGCGACTTTTCATTGGTTAAACTGCAGAACACAGAAAAAATAAATAAATATGATCCATTGATGCAAAATACAGAAATATGATGTTGATTTGACTGAAAAAGAAAAAAAAAGAAATAAGAAAAAGCAACACCTACGCAGAATATGCTTTGGCAATTGCCATAAATGTGGCCTCATCACCACCTTTGTCAGGGTGGTATTTTAGAGACAGTACACGGTACTGCTTTTTGATTTCTGGCAGCGAGGCACCCTGGAGACAAGAACACAGTTATATCTATATGTTCACTGTTCAAGAAAAAGCTAGGATTTTTATGGTAACTGCAAAAAAAGAACATTTTATTAAAGTTTCTGGGAAAAACACACAAATTAATCATTCAGACGGATTTTACCGGGTCCAAGTTGAGGACTTCATAGGGGTTGTATTCCTGGTACTCCCTGTCCAGTTTGGACACCTTGTAGGCTAGCAGCAGGAACACAGCCCACCCAAACAGCAAGGCTGCTTTTCTGAGGGAAAAAAAATAAAATAAATAAAAAAATTACAATAACTAAAGCCTTGTTTTGTTTTCTGTAGAAATTCTGAAACTTGTTTTGCTTTGTGTTTGATGAGCAAAGCTGGAAACGCACTCAAAGGCTTTGTCTTCTCCAAAGAATTAAGATTTGACAGAGGTTTTCTGCACTGACGCATAATACTAATCCATAACCTTACTAAAATAAAGAGATGGTAGTAAAACTGTTCCTTATAAAAGCTAATCAATAAAAAAAAAATTAATAACACAAAAAGTGAACAGATATAAAAAACAAAAAAATGAATGCCTTCAATTTTTTTATACAGTTTTTTCATCATTAGAGGCTTGTTATTGTAAACTAGTCTCACGGGAAGGCAGGTACAGGGCGGCGTGCTTTGGTGGTGCAGTGGTTAGCGCACATGACCCATTTATGGAGGCCTTAGTCCTCAACACGGGTGACCCGGGTTCGAATGTGGCCTGTGGTCCTTAGCTGAATGTCTCTCCCCCTCTCTTATACCTTTCAGGAGGACTAAGGCCTCGGTACATGTGCCATGCGGGCTAACCACTGGACTAACAAAGCACGCCCAAATATCAATGCTTTCGAATTTAACAATCTGCTGTTGTAATTCGTTTTTGACTCAAACTCTCTTAACAGAGAACTCGAGAATTTCCTCTGACAAAAGACTGTGGAAAGGCAGAAGTACTTAGAGGAAAAACACAAAATATTTTTCTTTATCAGACAGGGAAGAGCCTCTAATTTCTAACCGGATGATTGTGGTGGCACCGTTACGACTGGAAGTTAAAAAACCGAGTACCAGCTATCTATCGTAGTGCAGCCGAAGGGCACAAAGGTTCTGGTAAAGTTGTTGTTTATCATTTACGCACGGATGTTAAACTTGTTACCATGACAATAGCAAAAGTAAGGAAATATATGCCCGATGTACCACAGCATCTGTTGCCATAACAACAGCTCACTTGCTTACACCACCTCAGATGTCTGAGACACACGAGATGTAGTCCCATAGAGATTGTAATAAGCGTGAAACAAAAGTGATTAGCTGGCAAATGAAAAGATTTCTTCAACAGCCTTCTTTAAAGCTGTGCGGTGTTTGAAACTCAAACAATAGTGACACATTATTATTCTGTGTGATCTTTACCATTCGGGATGTCATCAGCTCTGTGCTCCGGAGAAACAGCAGCATATTTTATTGGCACGTTAAATTTTGTTGAAACTATTAAAAAAAAACTAGGAATATAACACTGAAATAGTTCATAACCAGTTAATTTTGCATCTATCCCTGATCAATGTTGTCGAAAAATCTGATCTTAGTGGAGGCTTTCTAAAAACCAAATATTAGATTTTAGTATGTAAACAAGATGCAATATAAATGACGGAGCAAGGGTCTAATGTGGGCGTCAGAAGACAAACTGCTTAAAAGCTGCAAGAGATTAAATGTAAGCAGCTCATGGAAAACATGGGGGGGGGGTTATGTCAGGCGATGAAACATGTTTAGAGAGACTGCAAACATCACGAAGAGATTAAGACAACAAACTGAAAGAAAAGTCTGTTAAATTAGGGTGTGGGTGTGTAGTAAATGTCACCCAGCTGCAGTGAAGTGGTTTATCTGCAAGCCACAAATGAATTTTAACAAAATAATCTGGAAACAAAACTAGCAGGTGGTCAGCTTTTCATCAGACAGCTATGTAATGCGCCATTTTAAATTAACAGTCATGTGACCAATAAGGATCGCACAGTTGGTATATTACACATAATAACAACTGATCATTACAGTGCTGCAGTGGGCAGCACTGCTGCCTTGCAGCAAGAAGGTTCCTGGTTCAAGTCCCAGTGTTCTGTCAGATAAGCACACCCGGTCAGACCAGCATACACATAGTCAATATCCGTTTATCCCTTTAGTTTTGTATGAAAAGCACACTTAAAACTACCTCAACAGGCGTATATCCCTTTAGTCATGTACAAAAAAAACTACTTAATTACTTAAGTTTTGGTGTTTTGTGAAGCATAAGGCGATCTGACCTTAAATTTAAAGTTTCTTTAATGACTAAAGGGATACATGTCCATTGAGATAGTTTAAAGTATATTTTTCGGACAAAACTAAAGGGATAAACGCAAATCTGATGTTTTGCGCATGCGTTTTGACTATAGGTATGCTGGTCTGACGGGGTATGCTCATCTGACAGAACACCAGCACAGGGTCTTTCAGCATGGAGTTTGCATCTTCTCCCCATACATGCTTGCGTTCTTTCCGGGTACTCGCTCACAGTCGAAAAACATGACTGTTAGGTTAATTGGCTTCCCTAAATTCCCCTTAGGTATGATTGTGTGTGAGAAAGGTTGTTTGTCTCGTTTGTGTCTGTGTTGCCCTGCGATAGACTGGTGACCTGTCCAGGTTTTACCCTGCCTCTCGCCCACTGATACCTGGAGATAGGAACCAGCACCATTCGGAACCCCAGCAGAGATAAGCGTGACAGAAAATGGACGGACGGATAAATAATTACAGCATTCGATCAGACAACAAAGATAACAGAAGTTGTAAACTTTTAAAGAGTAAAAGGATGTGTTGACACCCAAGCAGGAAATAAACTAATCTAAAAAGCCAAATGCTGAATATTTCACTATGGTGCAATAACGTGCTGCCGTAAATCAGTCAGAAGTGGTGTCCCGTAGGGTACCAGCCTTTTTGTTCTTTTTAAAAACCATCAAGCCCAGCTTTTTGCACTCACTTTAGTGTTGGGACCATGCTCTGCTGGGATTTGACCAGCCTGAGCCGATACCACAGACACCTGCCATGCACCCTCCTCAGGCTCTTCAGACGCAGTTGCTCTGCAAGGAAGATGCACAGGGAGCAGTTATTGACACATCAGCACAATCAGAAAGATGACAACATTGTATTCTTAATAGGATACCCTTTGCTAAGTCTGATCAAAATATGAGGAAATGTTCAACACTCCAGTATAGGTTGATTTCAGTCAGAAAGAGCTTTTATTTAACAGATCGAATCATTTTAAGCATCAACAGAGAGACTCAATAAGCAACAGCAACCAATGAACTTTGTCAGATTAAGTTACATAAGAGCATCTCTGTTGTTTACAAACAGATAGCAGAAAAATCCTGAAGGATATCAAAACAGATCCTAAGAAAACAACTCTAGGACTAACATTGGAGCTTTAAATAAAGCATTAGCGACATGGTTTTATACAAACACATGAAGCTAAATGCCTAAACAGACACAAAAGACACAAGTGTATCATCTTTCTGGCGTGTTTCTTCTACCACAATAATATATGAAAATAACAACACGTCCACAGGTATAATTATTTTACAATACAAAAGCATCCAGTGCTCCTCTGGGAGTCACTGGGAAATAAGTGACCCAAGTTAGCAGCCACCAGGCCTTACCAGCGTTCTGATCCCGCGGCCACAGGTAATATGTGGCCGGGATCACAATAAGTCCAACGAAGGACGTGAGGAAGTAGAAAAACGTATTGCCGCTGTCATCATACTGGAACTGTTGTCCGGCCATTTTGAAGCGGCTCTGGGGTCGCCCTTGTTCCCCACCGTTGCGTGTTGCCCCCCGTCAGAGCCCCAAATGTGACAGGCTTTTCGTTCACTAGCCTGCTAACATCCAGCCAAAGAGCTCGATGATTCGGTGTACGTGGTGTACGCATGCGCAATGTGTCTTCTCTTCTTCTCCTCCTCAATTAGCGCAAAGCAGACACAACGATAGCGCGCTGCTGCCCCCATCAGGTCACTGTTTAAAAACTGGACGTGAACCTTTTTTTCTTTTCTTTTCCTTTTTTTAAATAACTTTATTTGGAACAGTAACAATGACAAACTCAATCAATACAGTATAATAAAGCACAACATATAGTCAATCATACCTCCTAACACTTTTCTTGATATTTTTTCTTTTCTTTCAAGTTGCGAGGTAAACAGATGTTAAGTTTATGCCATACACTTCAAAAAGAGAGAGAGAAAAAAATCGAAAATCAAGGATATCTATAATTACATACGTCGAATATAACAGAATTATAATGAAAGATAAATGAATACGTAAAAATAATTAAAAAAAAATACATAACACACACAAAAAAAGCCAAGTAAGCATTATTCTTTAATTTGTATCGAGGGAGGGCTGAAAAAAAACAAAAAACAAAGAGGGGATATGACAAACCTTTTGCTTTTGGTTTCTGAATTTTTTCCAAGGAAAGATTTAAAAGATGGTTCTCCTGTTTAAATACAGACCATAACGGCCTGGATGTGAACCTACATGTCAAAGATATAGCTGTCTCCCATTTTGACCGGCAGTACGGAAGAGTAAAAGGGCCACTAAAAAAAAAAAAATAATAAAAAGTTAACTGATTTTTAGACATTATGAGAAAAAATACTTTAATCTCAAAATTCTGACTTTTTTTCTCAAAATTCTGACTTTAATCTCAGAATTCTGGATCTTAATGTAGATGGGCACCATGAAGAAAGAGAGATGTGGGAGCACTTAGCTTTACTGACTAATATGTGAGTTGTTTGGGAGGGTCAGTAGATGAAAAATGACGGAATCAGGCAACTTTTTATGTGCCTGAGGGGTCCCAGGTGATGCTATTTCATTAAAGGAAGAGCAGGAAGTGATTAAAACAAGAAAGCTAGTTTAGTGTCTAAACTCCACACAGTGAGACAGCTGCGTCAGAACGCTCTCTATGGTGCTTCTGTAGAAGGTGGTGAGGATATGTGGGGGCAGGTGGGCTCTACTCATCCTCCGCAAGAAGTACATGCGCTTTTTGCCCTTTTTGGTTCATAATTTAAGTTTCTACTACAGGAAAGGTGTGGTTTACAAAACTTAATTCATTTAGCTTCCAAAAAACTATCAAAGCTGTTCAACCGTACTATTTTGAACAAAAAATTTAACAAAATGTCTTTATAGTGGCAATATTTCATTCAGTGTCATGCTTCGTAAGCAAATTTATGGTGCCCAACTCTGATTCTTTTCTTTAACGTGCTTTTGATGACTGCATATTTATAGCAAGAAAAAAAAAAAGAGTTCAAATATGCCCAAGTGTTCCATATGCATTGCTTTCTCATATCTTTATTTGGCTTTTCTTTTTTATTTAACTAACATAAGTCTAAGCTGTCATGCTGCATGTCACCTACCTTAAATGTAACATGCATAAAATCAACATTTTGTGTTGGAGACAGCCGAAAGTTGCACAATCACACATGAAAGTGAAATGATAGATACCTTCTTAAAATGCCATGTGCTAATTATTACATTAGATCATCTTTCACTGTTCACCTCAGCACCATATAACTGTGTATTTTAAAGTCTGATGGCAATTGTGCTTATACACTAAAAAATGTTGCAACTGCTTTTGGCATTTACTTAATCATATCTAGTTACGTTAACGCAAAACTTTTTATGTCCTACCCTGCTAACGTGAAACAATTGTGTTAAAGTAACTAAATATGATTAAGTATATGCCAAAAGCAGTTGCATTATTTTTTCTGTGTATTATGTTATTAACTACAAGTTAATAACATAATCAACAAGTTGTATCCCTTCAGAATCTAGATATATATGCCAGAGTAATTGACCCCTCCAATTGTCCCATTAGGTGTGTTTGTGTTAATAATGGAATTAGTGTGTTTGTGAATTTGGCCTTTTGACTGATTGTAAATAGAAAATAATATATACATTTTTGCATGGTGGAGTTTGCAGTACTGGTACCCTTCAGCAAGAAGTCACCGGGTTTGGAATCCTGGCCTGATAGACAAGTGGTAGAAAACAGATCTATAGGTTTTATAATTATAACATTGAGTATCTAAAATATTGTGTTTACAAAAAGAAAATATTATTTTTTTCAAAGCAAAAAGGAGCTAAACGATGTAAATATTTTAAAGGACAGGTTCACATTGCATTAAAAACTCATGTCCAAGAGAGACGCATTGATAAAACAGCCATGCAGCAGCTACTTTGGACATTTATTCCATCTTATTACTGTATACCCATGATTTAAAGTGTTTAAAAAGAGCAAAAAACATTGTTTTAACAATTGTTTTAACAACAACTAAAATGCATCATTTTTCTTTGCAGCTGTTGATAATATTTAGATTAACAAATTTTATATTTAAAAAAACTGATATACTTTTACAGATGTTACTAATTAGTTCAGATGGCCACCAGGATATCCTCCAGATGTTTCCGTTTCAAGTCCGGCACCGTAGCGTCAGCAGCTGGATAACCCACAGGAAGCAGCATCAGCAGCTTCTCATTGGCTGGTCGTTTGAGGAGGAGCCTGAGCTGTGGGCCGCAGTTCAGGGGTGTGGATGTGACGGTAACAAGGCCTACATTCTGACAGACACACATTCATTTTTTAATTTTTATTTAACTATGTAGATGCTTATTTTGAAGACTGACGAATTTAAGTTTGTACTAAAATGAATTTGACTTTGACCTATATTTTATAATAGTATTCCTGACCTGTAAAGCTGCAAGAAGGATCCCACAGGATATGGAGACACTGATTTCATTGTAATAGTGGGTCTTTTTTTTGCCATTTGGTAGAATCCCATAAGCCTGTTTAAAAATGAGGATCAGGTACGGAGCAACATCCAAGTATTCTTTAATCCAGTTTGTTCTGAAATGCAGAAAAACGCAAGATACATTTTGGATTAGTATTTTTGCAAAACCATATAAGTTGCTTATTTCTTCCTTTTTTTCTAGTAAGCATATTAATGAAAAGACATGGAGTAATTATGTATATTAACCTTAATGGGGCCAAATCATGGACCCACTTATCTCCCATCCTCTGGCGGTAGTTCACCTCCTCCTCTTCCTCAACAATCAGCCTGATCTGGTGCTTTGTCTCTGGATCAGACACAACAACAAATGTCCAGGGCTCTGTGTGAGCTCCACTTGGCGCCGTCCCTAACAAGAAAGTGTTTATGAGCATATTTATAAATGATGATTGAATAATCAGCTGTGTGCTCATTATAAATGATAATAATAAATACAGTCTAAAAATATTTAAATCAGTTATAATACTTTTATTGGCCTCTTAAATACAGCAAACGTGTGAACAGATAATTGTTTTACTTTCACCTGCAGTGAGGATGACATTATTGATGACTTCTCTTGGGACTGGTTCAGGGCTTATGAATCGGACAGATCTCCGCTGGTTCATCAGGCAGTAAAAATCACTGGACCTCTGCAGCATGGCCTCCTCTGGGTAACGTTGGGGTGAATAGGGCACATGCGCTAGTTCCTTCTCTTCGTCGTTTTCCACCCATTCATCTTCATCTAAAAGGATGACAAAGCAAATACACCTGAGGCTTATGATGTTTAAAACGAATTAATTAAGTTAGATCTGTTTAATGAGGAGTTTTTTTCAATGGAAATTATTTCCATATCGAAAAAAAGGGACAAATAAAGTTTTGACTTTCAAATATCACTCAAGGGTTTCATGATAAAGAAGGAAATATTATTAAATGCTGTATTTAAAAAAAAAAATACTGAAATTTAAAAGGCTGACATTTTATTTAATACCAAAAGCCTATATCTAATGGTACATGTGCATATATTTTTTAATACCAACTTTACTGACTTTACAAGCAGAAAACATAAATATAAGAGTATTTGTATACACCCATAAAATGTAATGGACATGGTAAAAAAAAAAAAAGAAATAAACAAAACATGCATGGAAAATGTATGTTGACTGATTTGTCTATACACTAGATTCATGGATTTATTATGATTCTTGTAAAATGAATTACAAGAATTGACAAAGAATATATGCAAAAGGGGATACTTTTGAGAGTAAATCATATAAGCTTTTTATTATATGCAATTCATGAAATATAAATTGAAGATGATTTAATGCTTAAGTTTTTTAATATGTTTCTCTTTTCCATCTGGCACGTAACACAGAATAGAGCAAAAACAATATAATTATTTATTTGGGCATTTAGTAATTAAATAATATAGGCATTTTAATAGACATATGCAAAACAGAAATGTTGGGCACATAAGAGAAATGGTTATGTGAGAATTTATACAACAGGTAATTATTTGGGCTCGTATTGACACTAATATTTATACTGAAAGTGGCCCTTAGTGACAATATTTCTGAAAAAAAAGGATGTAATTTCTCAATATGTAAGATTTTTCTTAAAATGATACTAAGATTTAATAAAATCTACTTATAGAGCACCATAGGCTTTATGGCAGCTTCTAAATGTAACAAATGTTTGGAGTAGCGAGGACGATATTTATTGGGCTCAGTATATTAGGCATAGAAGATGACAGAAACTAAGAGAACTATCTAGGCATCTAATAATTTTAGAAATATAAATATGGACACTAGATAAACTGTATGATCCTGTTAGGGGATATGAATTACTTTAGCTGCTGGATAAGTTAAAGGTTACCTTTGGTAACATAATTTATTGAGGATAAATTATTCTTAGGAGAAGTGTAAAGCAGTATTTAATGAAAATTTGACAAAATTTGAAAAAATCTAAAATACTGAGGAATTCTAATACTATTATACACTCTAAAACGGTCAAAATATTTCTAAGGACTTTAGAAAAAAATCACAGGAAAAAAAGTAAATATAATATATAAAGTAATAATAGTTATATGTACATAGTGGCAAGATGTTTTAGAAGTGAGAAAATATTTAGTGTATTTGGATGATGTCAGCATCTACAGACTAAATGGCCGTAAAGAAAATGTATTGTGTGACCAATCTTCTCTTTGGCTCTTGATTAATGCATTAATCTCTTCTTTCGTCGCAGCCTGGTGCATAAAAGTAGAGAAAAAGAACAACTGATCTGTCACAATTAACATACTTCTAGGGCTATTTTCACGCTGCAGGCAAATGCAACCCGAACCCGATCCATTGGCAATACGAAACACATATCTAACATATCATACAGTATTTTTACATGAATCTGAATGGCTAAATTCAGATTTTTTCACCTCCCAGAATATCCAATTTGGGCCACTTCCATATGTGTTACTAAACCGGTACTCAATTTTGCCAAATCAAACCACTTTTTATAAGCAAGCTGTCTCAGTAAAACACAGGTGAGTGAACCATGGGCGGTTCTAAAAAGGGGCCATCAGGGGCCAGTGCTCCTGGAGACTGAATCCATAATACTTAATACAATTTTTATGATATTATGCACTGACAGAATCGATTGCAACTTATTTGTCCTTTGGGCCAGCTTCATTTTTTTAAATTTACAGGTTACTCATACAACTATTTAGAAGCTGAGGTCAAATGAGCAAGATAGTAAAATGGCAAGCAAGAAGAGTAAACATTACGACAAGCAAAGCAAAAAAAACCCAAACATTTAAATAAAGTATATTCAGCCATTTTGATGCTGTGTGACAATTTGCTTACTTTTTCTAAGTAACATCTTGACAACAATTTCTAAATCCAGTCTTCATTCTATGAATTCATTCTTCAGAATTGGAGTCGACCACACTTCCTTGCTCAGAAAGGATTTTCTGTCTCCTTCTTGAGCCGCTCTTAGCAACCAGTGAGCCAGAAAACTCCTTGGCTGTCATTTTTAGACTAAGTTAGAAGCTCTATGAGAGGACTCGGAGAATCTCTGTGGATATGGACCCTGGGTTTAATGGAAAAATGAAGGCCTGGAAGTCTTGATAATTCTTGTGCATAAAGTATGAAAGTTATAATCATCAAGTTATGTCATCATCATCACCCTATATCATCTCAGTCCTTCAAATCACCTCTGTATGTTTTCCCCATGTAAAGCCTGTTTAGGGCATTATTTATTTTTTTGCAGTTTGACTGCTACGCTTTAATATGCTTTTAACTGTTTTCTTTTTCATTTTATGTAAAGCTTTTTGCAGTCTCTGCAAATCCAAAGCTTTAAACAACCTTTTATCAATGGTTAGAAAGTGAACTCTGCTTAGATAAAAGGCACTCACCTCCTCCTCCTTCTGCTAATATTGTGTCATCCTGCAAGTCCTGATCCACCCAGGGTCTGAAGCCACTTTTTGAGGGCCCCTTACCTTGTCCCCCTTCTTTCAGGTTGGATTGCGGTGCACGAGATTTCAGAAACAGAAAGCCTGCCACCATGCAAAGGACCAACGCGAGGACGGGTGTGAGGACGGACAACAAAGCCATGTCCGACTGAGTAGCTGCCTGAATAAGTGGGACTACATAAGCTGAGTGTGTGACCACGTGTAAAAAAAAAAAAGAAAAAAACTTCTTCTGTTATCTGAAGTGGGCCTTTATGCTGAGTCAGGTCATGGGGAAAGACAGATGGGCTTGGTACTCTGGTGTTGAAGAAAAACAGCATACCCCAGGTTGACTGGGTCATGAAAAAATTACAGCAACATACAAGTCGACAGGTCTGTGTTTCAAAGTCCTGCCCGGTAGGTTAATGTTCCACTTTGTTCTTTTACAGTGCTGGGTTGCCTGAGTAGCCTACATACAAGCTGAAATATCTAACAAAATTCCTAAACATAGTATGAATTTTACTTGAGCGATCCTAAAAAGCATTTTGGACATAAAGCAGCCAATTGAATGTGTTTCGATAATTTATTAATATCCAAATTGCAATAAAACCCAAAGAAAAATAAAACCCTTGTAAATATCATTGAGATGATGTTTGTTCTGTACTGACACTATATGAATAAACTCAACTGAACTTAGACCAAAATTTGTTATTCTTTAAGCAATTGCAGGGTTCATACAATAATTAGTAACTCTAATTAATGCTTTTTAATGCTGTATGAAATAATCTTGCCATCCACCAGGGTTGCCATATATATGGTTCCTAAATCGTATATATATATATATATATATATATATATATATATATATTTGAATTTGCATTTTTGCCTCGAGCTTCTTTTCTGAACATACGGCTTTACGATCAACTGGAAGCCATTCAGGGCAAATATATTACGATACAATATATCTGAAGAAATTGTTTTTAATAAACCTTTTATACTTTTTTAAATAAAGCATTTTAAATGCCGCAATCTATCACTTTTAATTAATTTTAATGCAAATAAAGGCCTTAATTTTAAAAAATAATAATTTAATGACTTTTATGATTTTTTTAATGATCTGCAGAAACCCTGAATTGTTACTTTGAATATATCAGCTTTAGTTTAGGGATGGATCCAGGTCAGGTTTTGAGGAAAGATTTCTGTTTTTTGGAAGTAGTAATCAAAATTCACATTAAATTAAATTAGAAAAGCACTTGGAGAGTCAGAAGTCTGCCAAGCAACTGATTTTGCCCCATATTATGACTTACACTTATAGATAAAACTCACACATGATTTGGGTCATTATCAAATGTTCCTTTTTCATCTTCTTTATTCACTCTGCTTTCTTGCTTGATCAGTAGATCTAGACTTTGAGCAAGGCATGTTTCAACTTTCCTGTGTTTTTGTCTTCAGTATAATACTTGCTTAAGCTGTCAATAGTCACTGCTGCCACGCTCTGGTTTAGGGGGAAACTGCTTGTTCTGCCAATGTTAAAGAATCCTTCTTAAAAAAATCCTGGATCTAGATTATGATGTATAGATCAACACCAAAATTGAATGTATTGTTCCTTGGACTGAGGTGCACCTTTGGTTAAAATAAATCTTGTAAAATCTGTTCATAACTTTTCAAGTTATCCTGTGCACAAACAAACATGCAACCTCACCCACAAACTCAACTAAAAGCACAATCTCCTTGGTGGAGGTAAAAATGCTCCTTCAAGACAGAGTCCTAAATAAAAAAAATAAAAAAATCTATTAAAAGGTGACCTATGAAAAAAAAAGATCAAATACCCCTGGTAGTGGGACAAATGTGAATGAGTCATGAATGTGCTTTTACTTTTACTATTTTTACCCTTAACAATAAGTGTGATCCTTAGTTATTTGGTTTTCCTTTTTGACCCCTTTCTCACTTCCCTGTTTTTGCTAATATTTTTGTGTATTTTTTCCATACTTGTCTACTTTTAAAGTAATTTCTTTTAGACACCTAATTAGTCATCCTCCTTCAGCTGATTGCTTTCTCTTTGTCTAAGCTGCTCCACATACACAGAGTCCCTCATGTTTTTTAACTTGCATCCTCCCTCCTCCAGATCCTCATGCTCTTCAGAATTTGTTGCCAGTTTCTTCTCAAGTGTTCCTTGTCCTGTTCTCCTCATAGGTTTTCTGTCCTTGTCGGTTCAGCTACCATCATGTTCATGATCAAACATTCATGCCTGGGTCCTTTTTTGCACCCTCTCAACATATTGGCATATTGATGTAATGGAGTTCCCGCGATAGAGTTCACACAAGGTCAAAATGTTTGTCCAAAAAAAAACACATCTTCCAGAATTTTATTAATCCAATTAAGCAAAAGATTTTGCAGGGGTTATTTTAAGAAGAAAATTCTGTTAGCATTTATAAGAAAGTGCCAGTAATAACTGGACAGAGATTTATCTTTTTGTGCAGGCAAAATGATCTGAACAATTTTCTTAATAGTCTCTGGGGCATCTTCAAACCCAAAAACTACACTGGAATATATATATATTTTTTTATTTTTTTTACTTACTCCTGCACATATAGTAGCCTGGGTGCCATATAGGACCATTTCAATTAGAATTTATTGGAGTTACCATTTGCCTCCTCTTGGTGGCACCACTGTTATTAAGACTGGTGTGACTCTCATAAGACCATTGAGGGGAATCGGTTCATCCACTGCAAGAAAAGACTGACGTCTATAAACCTCACCCGTTCCTGAAGATGTCACTATTTGAACTCTGACATTCTAATATCACCTGTCATAGGTACATTGAATTATTTGATTCACATCTGTGTATCCAGTGATTATTTTTACCAAAGTTTCCTCTGTTTTTTTAAACTGAGAAAATGTCACCCCCAAATCGTCGTCTACCATCCTGCATTTCTTGCAGCGCAGGCTCCGCCCCCTCGTCTCTCTACGGCGCTGCGCTTTAAATAGCAACTGTTTAAAAGCTGCTGCACATTCTCCTGTCTGCCGCGCAGCTCTGCAGTGTTTCTCTCCCCCCTTATCACTCCATTAACACATTTATTCAAGCAAAAAAACCCTTTCATCCTGACATGTCGGCCGCCAGCACCGAGACCAGTGCCCCTCTGCCCACCGCAGGCAGCCGAGTCTTTTTCCAAGGTGCGCCCGGTGTGGGCTGCGTGAGCTCTGCTCCTATCAACGGGGAGGACCCGGTGCAGAAGAAGCAGGGCAAAGTGACGGTCAAGTACGATAGGAAAGAGCTGCGGAAGAGATTGAACCTGGAGGAGTGGATCATCGAGCAGCTCAGCGAGTTGTATGACTGTGAGGTGAGTGATGGATGGGGAGGGGGGGCGCCCTTCAAATCACCTGGAGACAGCTGGGTTAACTACAACACCTGCAATATCAGCATAATTAGGCTTAATTCAGACGTTTTCATCATTTTTTGGTTGTAGTGGGACTGATTTAGTGGACAGCTGCAGGACAGCATTCAATGAAAAACTGAAAATCAATACAATAAAATAAAACTTCACATTAAACTCAAATTTTTTAAATCCAGGAGCTTGAATCTTTCATTTCTTATTTTGCGGTATCACTACTGAGATATTCAGCGGTCTAAATAAAATAGTAATTAGTTATATTTGATTATAAATAGTTATATTATCCTTGATCAGGGTATGGATGGTTTCGGGGCCGCAGAAGGAAAGCAGCATCAGAAAAAACGGATGGTTTCCTTTTACGCACCAATCGCTCCCCACCTCCCGCGAAGCTTGCAGCTATTAAAAAAAAGGGAATAATTTGTGCCTCCAATATAGAGTATACAGGCTGTGTTATTTCTTGTTAAATGCACACAGAGACTCCTTTCATAAAAAGAGAGAGAGCAAAGCCCCTGCTGCTTGTTTTTTTATTTTTTATTATGCGTTCGTCGCAGCTCTTTCTGGTGTTTATGGAAACGTTTTTATTTCCTTAACCTTTTTTTTTTTTTTGGCCTTTTTTACTTTTTGTGGATCTGGTTCTGCGCCTTAATGACTGTCCAATTACTGTGCGCTCGCATGTCGGCGCGTCACATTCATCATTGTAAAAAAAAAAAAAAAAAAAAAAGGGGAGGGGCGGGGGATGCCATGTGCTCGCATGCGGAGAGAGAGAGAGGGAAGGGGGGAGGGGGGTCGTGGGGTCCGATAGCAACAAATCCCCCTCCCTCTACTGCTGTCTGCCACATACAGTGTGCTACCACGCATAGCTATGTAGGGGGATGGGGGTGTTTGAGAAGCTGGAAAGAAGGGCACTGGGTTAAAGGATGCTGATGCTGTGACTCTCCTCACCAGCCAATCACCTCCTCTGATGCTCCTCTGAGGATGGAACACACTGTTGTGCAAAATATCTCAACTCTAATCAACTATTTAGATAATTACCTATACCATAATCAGCACCAAGGACGTAGGTTGGATTTCAACTTTGGTAGGGACACTATTGGTCTGATGTCATTGGTCCTGTGCTTGATATGAAAATCAGGGTGTATTAGTTTAAAGAGAAAAGCAACGTTTCTTGCTACATTTGTACAAATTTTATAAGCGCTACACACACTAGATGCTGTTTATCAATGTTTGAAGCATCATCGGCTATGATGAATGAGGAAGTAGGGCTATTTTCCTCTTTGAAAAGGTTTGCATTTGAAATTAAAAGCGACTAAGACAGAAAGTAAATATGTTTAACTAAATATAGTCTAAATGTGTCTGTTATATGTGGATTTATCCTGTTTTTTCTTTTGAAGATATACAATTGTGCAGTGGTAAAACCCACTTTTCTTTTAAATCGTCATGATGGGTTTTAAAGATCTCACCCACATGCAGAGATTCACTCAGAGAGACAGGGGAAACATTAACAGGTTTATTGAGAGGTTGACAAAAAACAGAGATGGAGATTATATGCAGGGTTATCGCAGTGAGACTTCAGCGGTCTGGTGAACCGGAAAGTTAGGGAGAATCTTGGTTTCCCTTGGGTCCAGTTTGTAGGGGGGTTTAATCCAGAAATGAATGAACTAGTTGGAGGGTGGACAGGCAGACTTGCGTTGGGTCCAGAGGAGCAATGGAACAGACTGTCACCGGGATTTCCTGAAGTGGGCTTGAACAGATCTGGTGAAGGTTTCCACGTGCTCAGTGTGACTCTTATTCCTTCCAAGGAGGGTAGAAGGACCAGGCTTTTAGAGTGGATCAGGAGGGCTTCCTACTGGAGAACAAATACAAAGGCAAGGCTTAGACTCAGAGAGACTAGGCAAAGGTTAGACTCAGCTAATCTCAGTAAAGCTAGAATACCCAATACTGGCAAACACTCTGGCGTTGAGGTGGTGACAGTCCGTAGCTCAAATACTCCTCTGGTAATGACCCAACGAGCCGCAGGTGTGCAGGGAGGCCCAACGAGAACAGGGCACCGTACAAACAGGGCACCCACACAAACTGGAACCCTAACATAAATATTCTCCCTGTATCATGAAACAAAGCAAAATAATAGATTCAAGGACCCAACACTCCATTCAAGGGACACCAAATAAATGTATTGTATTTACATGAGCACTGGAACTGACACTTAGCATTTAGAATATTCATTTCACTCTACAAGTCATCTGGGCTGTAGTTACTCTATTTAACCCATATCATTTATTTTACCTTGCTCTGAAACAATTCATTGGAATCGATTATTGAAATGTCAACAAATTTAGTAATCAATTAATCGTTAACTGGAGGATAGAGACTCTAAAACATGTCTTTAGCTCACAGAGCGACCCACTTAGAGCAGGAATTGTACCAAAATTGTAAAAAAAATTTATAAACAAAAATGTTTTCTTCTCTCAATATTCTCCATCCCCTCAACTGCTGCAACAAAGCTGTATTGTAAATTATAAACATGTTATTCACATCTAATTGTTGGTAGGGACAAGTAGGTCGGTCCAAAATGTTGGTAGGGACATGTCCCTATGGTCCCTATGCAAACCTACGCCCATGATCAGCACATGGATTTTATATTTGGTTATTAAAAGCAGAGGATGTATGAAGCTATAGTTACTAGTGTGTGTTTAGTTGGTGTTGCCAAACTGCATATAGACACCATGAATTCTTTTGCATTGTGACCAGTTACAGGTGCAAAGGTTAATGTTAAAATCCAATGCAAACAGCAGCCTAAAAAATTCATGAGGTGCTAGAATGTGTTAGAAGGAAGGTTCATAGTTACAGAATAAAAGGTATAAAAAAATTCAGTTATTTTGCAGCAGCCATTTGCCATATAGGGGAAACAGAAAATATTTTTCATGAATATGCAACTATTAGATTTGCTGGGCAGTCCCAGATCAGAAGCTGTGAAACGCTGCAAAAAGCACAAGGCTGTGGTTTACCCTCCAGCAGACACTGACCCTGAACATAAATTCAGAAAAGGAGTGGAATGGAACAGATCAAACCATTTTTGTCTTTGAATATTTTGAAGAAGAAAAAAATGTGAAAAAAAAGACTGAAATGAAATGTATGCCATGCTTTCCAGATTCTTCTTTTTAAATTTTATTTTAATAAAAACGCAGTGTTGGCTTCCTTTCACTTTGCCATTTTGATCCATCAAATACAATCCAGTTAAGTTTGTGGTTTTAGCAAAACACAGTTTCACACTTTGCTTTGTTAAAAACACAAATATAAAGTTGTGTATAACCGCAGGACTGGATTTGCTCATTTGACATTGACTGCCAAACCTGTTCTGTGAATTTGCTCTTCTGTGAAGAGAGAGCATTGCAATGCAAATATTTCCCACAATGGAGGCCAATAAATCTCTGCATGTGTGCATCGATTCCTAAAGCTCCAAACTTCTACATCCCCTATGCTGAAAATGCCAAATGAAAGCATAGAAATCGAAATGTGAAATCTGTGGAGCTCTCTAACACAGGCTGATATGTTGTTTAGGAGCTTCTTCCTTCCTTTATAGCCCTCTTTATTGCTCTTCTGTTGTTTTATTTGAGCTCTAATAAGCTATAGTCTTGTTTCCAAGTGCAATTGTTAAAACCTTTAAAGTTGACTGAACTCTCGGCTACTTGTCGGTTTAACATCAACAGGATGTAGTTAATGCAAATAAATTTTTGGATTTACAAAAGAACTAGAACATTTCATTTCTTTTTGTTGCATGACATCCTATCCTTTTGACCTTAGTCCATGTGGTAAAGACATACCCAGTAGTATGACAACTTGTCATATTGTTTTACACAGTAAATAGGATATTATTACATTATAATATCCTATTTACAGGCTCATCTCACGGTTTCAGTTAAGTAGAGCTTTATTAGTCTGTGTCCCAGAGTTTGGAAGGGTTTCAAGAAAAGCAGGAACTGAAACCGGTGCCTGATGATGTTGACATGTTGTCATTTCATTGCATTGTTAAAGCTGTCTCTCAGCTCATCAGGATGCCATTGTTTAAGCAGGTGGTTTTTATTGCTTACCAGTGATCTTTGCTCATACGCCTGTGAACAGGAAGTCACACTCCATCCAGGCCTGTAAATACCTTTAAGCTCAAACCCAAAGTGGATTCAGGGGCTTCAATATCTGTGTGTGTAAGAGAGACATGTAGGTGGAAAGGCTGAAGATTTGACCATGCTTGCTTAAAGGTCATCCTCTGGATCAGTTTCAGAAGAACAGCCCATTACATTAGAGACATCATATAGGGGCTCGTTTCTGTCTCTTATTTTTTTTAAAGAGATGTGATAGAAAAAGATAAATGTTATCTTGGGCTAAAAATGGTACTGGGGTTTTCAGGGTTGTTAGGTAGAATGCAGTGTCATTCCTCTCTCTGTTTACACTGTTATGGCAAAGGCTGAAATGATATTGGTTGGAAATGGGGTTCTTGGAGAAAATGAAGTTGGTTTAAAGCTAGCAACATCCATCTGCTGGAGGGTTTTTTTCAGAACTGTTTCTTAGGCAGTTCTGAAACACAATGTACTCTAAATGTGGAAGATTAGGGATGGAATTAGCAATTGAAAATGTAAGACTTTTAGAATAATTACACAATCTAGATTGTTTAATCAAGATTCAAGTAGCCCAGGATAAGGCTGTCCCAGTCCGCTATTGATTAGTATTGCGCTGATGCCATTTTTTCGCCCCAATACCTTGCTGTGCAGTATTGGCCGATACTGATACCATACCAATACCATCTGTTTGAAATTGATGTGTGTGTGTTTATATATGAAGAACTGCATACTACTTGGATGTAAAATAATTACCATCATGGCTTTGTCAAGCAAGCTGCCGCCTGCCTTTGTGAAGCAGGAAGAAGACTAATACAAAGTGAATCCAGTAAAGCTTTT